AAGGACTGAGGTGGCATTTGCAGAGTACTTGAGCTCTCAGTCATTTGTAAGAAAGATTAAGCAAACATCTTTACATGCAAAGCCCATGGCATTCATGTTCATATCTAGTTATGTTTACAAGAAAAGGAGACAACTGTGGTGAGAAGGTCTGTCTCCTCCAAAATTCAATTTGAAACTTCGTCCCCAAGGCAACAATATTAAAAGGTGGGACCCTGAGGTAGCGGGTAGGCTGTCTGGGATCTGGCCGCATGAATGGACTGATGCTACTGTAAAAGAGCTGAAAGGTTCTGGCTAGCCTTTATTGCTCTATCACCCCTTCTGCTACAAGAGGAAACAGAGTTCATCCTTCTGCAGGAAGAAGCATTCAAGGCACAGTCTTGGAAGCAGAGACCAAGTGCCCTCCAGACACCAAATATCCTCACACCTTGATCTTGGCCTTCCCAGCCTCTCCTAAAGCAAAATGGTAACTTTCTGACCTTTATATATTAGCAAGCCCTTGAAACTTGATATAATGGCACTAACAGACTAAGACATTCTCCAGGAAAACTCCATTAGTACACCCTGAAAAAGCTCCCAAGATGTTACGCTCTATTGGCATTTTGAAATATTTAGAGATTAAATTAACTCATTACAAAATTTCATACAAAGCATAAGAGACAATTTCTAATATATATTAGCTATCTCCTATGTGATATAGCAAACTGTTTTCAAGTATCAGATGCAGGAGACCATCTTGAAACCACACTGAGCAAGCATTAAGATATTACTGAATTGGTTTATAATTCAGCTACTGATTAAAATTATGAGTCATTCCAAGGCCTATGTGTGACTTGCTAAATGAGCCTTCAGTTGGTGAATGGAGACAGACTTCTCTATGCCAATGGTCAAAATTGAGATCTCAATGTTTGATGAGACTGTGATGTCTCTAATAGCAAGATGACAATGAAGCTGAGGAATTATGACTCTGTGCAGCCATTCTCTGAGAGCAAACGTGAGCCAAAGGTAACACAGGTGGCTTGTTAGCTATGACCTGTCTTTCACAAGTGTACACCGTTCCTCCCCTTTCCAAGCTTGGCGCCTTAGTACATTAGTTCTGCTATTCCCTGCATCTGCCTTTGCACCCTCTGCTATGTTGTATAATCATAAATACTGACCAATCAAGAGACCATGGTCTCAGCCAGGAGAGAGCTAAGATCAATTGCACTCCCCAGTAATAAACTACCACTGTTTATTCTTTGTTCTTTGTATATTATTCTTTCATCCTCTGCTGAACCCTCAATCAGTTGTCCCCCATACCTGGTGGTCAGGCATCACCCAATAATAATATCTCATTTAAGGGAAATGAAAGTATCAGGATACATTCTGTAAATGTGTAGATTGAAATATGGTATATAATATTCTTTCTCACATAAATTAGTATTTATAGGCATAGCCTTACAAGGAAAAGGAAGAATTTACTCTAGAATATTCAACTAGCAATAACAATAATCTTATAACAGTATTTACGTAAAACCTGACTCCAGGATCAAAAATACATCCTGATAAATAAGGCAATAAATATTCTGGTGTGTAGAAACAGTCTTCCTTGAGAATTTTCCCATCAGCCATGTTTTAAGTCATAAAATTAAATGCTTACGAGACAGCCTCCTTTCATGACCATCAGATGCAGCTCCTTCCCCTCTCTTTCCTTCTCCTTGGAACTTGGCCAAGTGTACAACACCCACGGTCCCTGCAGTGTCTTTCAAAGAACATCCACAGCTGCTTCTCACCCTGCCCAGGTTTCATCTGTACTAGGATTATAACCGACCACAGGCTGATTATGTCTGTGAAGTCAGTACAAATGAGTAACAAGTGTACTTTCTGAACAAAATAAAAGTTACAAATTAAAAGATTAAGACATACACCTCTGGAAATCCTGGTGCACGGAGGGGAGAACATGCAGAGTGCTCAAGGGTAGGAAAAGCAGACACAGGGAGCAGAAGCTGATTCCCGCCTGGCTCGTATGCTCTGCAGGCAGTGACAACAGGACACTTCCTCTTTTCAGGAGAAAACTGCTGCACACTACTCATGGGAACATAGGGGCCATGAACGGAGGAGACACTGACCTGTCCTTTCTGTGATAAAACAGAATGAAAGCTATTCAGTTCCACAGAAGTGTCAGGACAACCAGGTGTCAAGAACACCTTCATTCCCCTTGACACTTTCTCTTCCCGTGGAAGAGCACAGAAACGTCTTTCACAAGACACCTTCTCTACCCACATGAAGAAAACTGGGCTCCAGTTTTCCTTACTTGGTGGCATGTTATACACAGGGGCTAGAATTCAGGGTCTAAAATCATGCTATCTATACTTGGGTATGATGCTGATTACGACTATGTGACCCTGAGCAAGATAAAATTTAAGTTTTCTAATCTTCAGTGTCCTTATTTGTAAAACAGTAGCCACAGTAGTAACCAATGTAGGTAAGAGTATATATAGTTAACTATAGTACTGACCTCATAGTACTGCTGCGAGAATAAAGATGGTATATGTTTCTGACAGATTATAAGCAGACATAAAATGCTACTGGGACTATTATTTTTATTAATAGTAAATGTAATTACAGTGTATAAGTCAGTGCAGGCCAATAGTCAGGCTCTAACCTTACCCAAATTGGTACAACACAGAAGATTCGTGGATGTGAATTCAGGGCAAAGAAAGTAATGAAAGACAAGGTCCCCATCGTAGTGTGGAAAAGCAAATAGAGGCAGGCAAGGGATCAGGAGACAAACTGCTGTCTGATTCTGACTCTATCCAGTCTCACGAATCTCAGATGCATGCTCAGAAAGTCCTGATGGCGACACGCCTGTGCTACGCAGACTAGTCCAAGAACGGCTGGAGCATTTCTGATGCACAAGAAAGTTACTTCCTAGTTTGGTGGAGTCCACTTTTTTATTATAAGACTTCTGCCCCTGAAAGATTTATTCATCTAGGTGTCACTAGTATAATGGATTATTCGGTTCCTGCAAATTTATTTTTATTCTCCTAAATCATCACCTTTGGAGAATTCTGATGCTTATTAACATTGCCACAGCTGGCGTACAGGAGCAGAGAGGACTGAGAGTGGCACCTCTCCATGTTGCTGCTACTTATCAGCATCCTATAAAGGCTGTAGGAACAAGGTAGAAACTATTGATTAATAAAGGCTCTATCTGTGCATTTTGCTTATTTTGCCATTTAGTAGCCTCCAATACCTTTCCCAGCACTCCTCAAGAACACAAGTCAAAATGCAAATGCACAGGCTCTCTCTGGATGGATTAAATAAAAACAAGCAGAGAAGAAATCTGCATTGTAAACAAATATATCATTTTAAGAAACACTGATCCATCCTAAAATGAATCCAAATAAGATTAATTCTACATATTCAGTGACAATATAGCTCCATGCTATGACTGTGTAGCTCTTAATCTGGCCAAAGACACCTATACCTTTCTTGTTAAAATGTTTGTGAGTATTAAGATTGTGAAGAGAGGCAGTGAATATTTTAAAAGCTAAAACAGCGTAGGGACAATAAATTACCAAATAGCATTTCCTTAGATCAAGAGCTTGCTACTCTCAAAAACATCTTTCTCTTTTTAAAAAGGCTGTTTCAATGTAAAACTCAAAAGTTTATATGCATGTTAATACAAATGACTATCTCTGTATATTGAAATATGTCAAAAAGATAAAATGATCTCTATTTTCATATTTCTAAAATGACAGAAGGTAGAGTGGCGAGGAAAAGCATTATATGTCAAACAGGTTAGAATCTAAGAGAACATTATCTGCATGGAAGGCCAGGCTTTTTTCTGTGATGTGACCTTAGGTATATAATTTACAGACATGGGGACTGTATTCCTATTTGTAAAATATAATGATATCAGTTCTGATTCCTCGGTGAAATGCAAAAGCACAAAGAAAGGTAGGGTAGTGATATTTGTCAGAGACACTGCTGCTTGCAAAGATAGGCCACTCACTACTCTAAATGACATACAATTCTGTGGTTCCTAAGAAATGGCATTTTGATGCTGGTGACTACTTTCTAGACACTTTACCATCAGGCAGAATGAGATGCATGCACAATAGAATAGATGATCCTTGCTATTTAGTACTTGAAATTGTGTTTTCTTTTAGAAAAAAATCCAGTTTTCTGTTTTCTCATGTTTTATGATAATTAATTTATATATATATATTCAAGATATATAGATATAGATATATATGTGTGTGTGTGTGTGTGTGTGTGTGTGTACACGCATGCAGCGGTTTAACTTCAACACCAGTTAAAACTCTTGAGCACAGAGTAAATTGGGACAGAAAGAAGAGACTCTCTTACGGATGCCCATGTGGAGAGAACGAACCCATGATAAATCCCCTGCTTGTTCCTTCTCCACAGGAAGCCAAGCTTTCATCTGAGGGGGTGCAAGCCATTTCTTAATTGAAAAAACATCCTTGCCTTTGAGGATGCTGCAACTTCAACAGAGTAATTTGTTCTAATCCAAGTGGAAATAATGAAACAGATTATCAAACATTCTTATTTTTCCCATTTATAACATGCTTCTTACAGCAATTGTTAAGAGCTCTTAACATTAGTATTGGAGTTGCTTCTTACTGCTTATTGAATAGTCACAAAATACTACGCTTTGCATTTTGGACTTTAATGATTTCTTGGATAGTTCCAATGTAGGTATTTCACAGGATCTAAAATTCAATACCTAAAACTAAGGTGATTCTCTCACCCAGTACCTCATGGCTCCTGTCTCATTCAAAGCTATCACTGTCATCTGATCACCAGGAATGTAACAGAGGTGGTATCTCGTCAACCCTTTACTTACTTACTCTCTAAATTCTACCCACATGGAACCACTGAACTTTCTAAAGGCAGCACGCCTTGGTGTGTCTCTGAGGTGCCGTGCATGGGCTACCTTTGAACATAATGAATGGCTCCTATGTCAATCATGAAGATAGTTTCTTCTGGTTCTCTACCTTCATTCAGGATGGGTGCTCTTCAACATAGATCAAGGTACCAAAATGTGTAAGATGGGAAGCCAAGTATCTGTGTAGCACTGCAGTGATGCTGACCCTGGGCCAAGCCCAGAGCAAGGTCTCCCGACCCCAAGAGTCCTCCACATAGGCTGTTTGTTCACAAGGAGTATCGCGTGACTAACAAGGACCCTAGAGAGGTGTGCTCCTTGGAAGCTTCTCAGGCTCTTGCTCTTCTGTGTATATTTTTCCTCTTGCCGTAACGTTTTCTTTACCTTTATTAAATCCTTGCATAATACTCAAGGCCACGACACCAAAGAGTCTTACTTGTATTTTCAATCATCCAATTTTGTGTACTTCTTTTAGTAGGTGTCTCCCGTGAGACTTGGGAGCAGATGTTTTATGTACCTAGGATCTGGCACCTATTACATGCTGAAAAAAAGGAAAGTAAATGTTCATGTTTTATTGATCAGTTATCCTGTAATTACAAATTTGTCTCTTAGAACTAGATTAAAACATCGCTAGCTGGATACGGCGGCACACACCTGTACAGCATTCTGGGTGGCTGAGACAGGAAGACTGAAAGATCAAGCTGAAGCTGGGCAACTCTGACTTAGTGAGACCATGTCCTAAAATAAAAGAGCTGGATGCGGCTCAGTGAGAAGGCCCTTGGTTCAATGCCCAGGATTAAATATTAAAACTTGCTAATTTATATACTAAAAAACCAAAACCACTGTAGATACAATTATAGACTTCATATCACTATGAAGTGATTTATGATGAAATAGGTTAAAATTATTTAAATTTGTAATAGTCCATTGATTTTTAAACTAAAAATATTTTCATGTTGACACTGCTCCCACTTAGTCAATTAATGTCTCATCGCTTGGACCATCTGTAAGTTTCTGTGTGCTTGCATTCTTTGTAATTTTTTACTATACTGGAAAACATACAGATTGATGGACATCATTCATGAAACTGAATAAATAAATAAATAAGAGTAATATGCATTCATTAATTCATTACAAATCCAAGTTAAGGTTATACAAATATTGTCCATGCAATGCTCATGGGTGTGTGCTTCCTCTCTCATTTTTGCTAAACATTCTCCACCTTACCTTTCTACAAAAGGATAGACAGCTCATTGATCAGAACTTCTGGTTTATTCCTCTCCCCTGCTATTGCCACTCGCACACAATATATAAAATCTGTGCAACGTAAAGTTCATTGCTTGTTACTAAGCTTTATTCCTCACTGTACACACATTTAAAAATAATCACTGACAGGCTTCTCCTGCAACACTTGAGCACATTCAGTCTTGCTCCTTTTCCCCCAGCAATCCTTGAAGTACATTTTTACTCTGAGTATTTGCAAATGGAAATAGCTTCTCTTTCTGGTAAGACTTGCTCTGCTTTTATTTCCTCATCTTGGCAAATGTTTGTGGGAGCAAGCAGGGAGCAATACCTGTCTAATGAGCAATAAAAACAGGTATGTAACCAAGAAGGTGATGTGGCAATCCTTAGAAATAAGTTGAAATCTCAGTGAGCTAGAGATCTGGTTTTAATTATTTAGGATTATAACTGGGGATCAACTAGCAGCAGATCAAGCCCTTCTTTGCCTACTTTGCTACCCAGAGTAGCCTTTCTTATCTGAACATGCAGATTCTGAGGTGGGTGAATTAAATCTCCTAGGAAGTAATTAGCCATCGCAGCAATGCCTATCATCTTTCCTGAGTAATTCTGTCACTGACAAAATCTGCCTGGAAGACAGACTAGGGAGACAGGGAGATGCAAGTCTATTCAACTTAGTTCAACTATTTCAAAACTTTGAGTCTTGGAACGGTCATGTTATTAAAATATGCAAAGAATCAGGAACTAACCTCCTAATGAATGTGCTGTATTCTAAAAAATTCCATCTGTAGCTACAGTTGGTTGTTCAAAACTCTGGAAGCTTTTTTCCTACAGTAAAAATGTTATATCAAATGTCTGGTAAATCTAGTTAGAACAGAGAAAAGAGGAAAACTAACACTTAGCAAGCACAAACCATGTGCTAAAAATTGTATAAATGTTATCTAATTGTCTCAAAAGCTTTTAAAAGAGGGTTCTTTTTTTGCATTTTACAGATATGAAAACTGAGTGTAACACAAGGTCTGCCATGAAGCTGTAGAATCCATCTACAGCTATGAGTCTCCGAAGCCACAGTGTTGTGATTACTGCACATGGTTCCCCGTATCCAAAACTGTTTGCTCTACCACGTTAACAGCAGAATATCTCATAGCTACCATATATATTCATTTTGATTAATGAGTTTTAAACTGCATTTTAAAGAATATAGGCCAAATTTTCTACTTATTTCTATTAAGCAGCTTTTGTAGTGAGGCTAAGGATTCCATTTCCTGGTTCCAAGGCATTAGCGACATTTTCTGAGACTGAGACTGAAGCGGGTCAAGTAGGATAATTGGGTTAATGGCCTGGGAAAGCTCAAAGCAGGGTACAGGCCCTGGATATGGAAATGCAGGGCATGAGCAGTCTGGTCTGGCTTGAGTTCCTTCTTTATATTTCCCCAGACGGACTCAACAAGCTGCTACCATCACCACAGTGATCAGTGAATACGGAAGGCAGTCACAATGTAGGAGCAGAGACTCAGAAGCAAGACCTGCCCTTACTTTCCAGGATCAAATGGCCTGGTGAAGTGTGTCAATAATTTAGAGTATAAGCTATAAGAATTAGGATAGGATGCTCAAGCGTGGTACACTCCCAAGTCACTTAAGTCAGAAATTTAAATTTTCCAGGAGGAAGGAGCTAAGCTACCATGCACAGCGTTGATATTTATCAGGAAACTGTAGCAGAGTCTTCTCAGGTTCAAAGTAAATGCAAAGCCTCTGAGTAGAGAGAGAGAAAAGGAGATGGTGAGAAAGAAGAAAGAAGCCCCCACTGGAAAAATAAGGAACATATCAAAAGAAGTAGAGAGGACAAATCAAAGACCAACCTGAGGTAAGGAGTGGATTGTGATAAAATGCAAAGGATTTGGAGGTAGGAAGTAAAATGATTAGACTTTCGTTTCAAAATGATGACTTCTGTGGAGCAGGGTAAGAATTGGGAAGGAGAAGGGAAGTATCTGACGTGTGGAGCACACTGCAATGGTCTGCGTGAGAGAGGCGGCAGCTTCACCAGTTCATGCCATGAGTAGTAAGCAGGCCTGGGGCGTGCACGGATGTCCTTCTGCTCCATGCAAGGTAAATACAGATATTGAGAGTTGGCATTCATATATTTGTATACCATTCTGACAAAGAAGGTATATCCTTGGAATGTATCTCTGTAAGACTGCTTTTAAATATGAGTCTGTGAAAGATTCAGGAGAAATCGGAGACACGAGGAGAGGCACTGGCCTGCACCAAGTAGGTGATGGGAACTATGACAGAAGCTCACACATCCAAGAGGTTTTCAGAGAAACACGATGTCTTCACATTTAATTGGTAGTGGGTGGTGAGGGAAAGGATCACTGGACAGTGCTGACTGGTAGAAGAGTGTTGTTTACGATTTCTATCTATAAAATCTCTTCTCCCTTCTTCCTCAGGCACCTCTTCCTCTGCAACCAGTCCATGCAGCCTGGGAAGGTACATGGCATGTGGACTAAGTCAGTGACTCCATCTTCCTTCCTAGAGATCAGTCTGGGCAGGGCTAGCCATATTCTGGTATGGGCTCATCCGTACCAACTTCACCAGGCCAGGGAGGGTCTATTCAGGAAAGTACATCTGAACTTTGGTGTATGTAGGTCTAAGAGTTCTGATAACGGAAATCTGTCCATGCCAGACCCCATGTGGCAGTCAGAGAATGAGGCAACTCAAGGAAAACTGAAATGAAGGGCTCACCATGATGACACCAAATGTTCCCCGAGACGAGCTGCCTACCTATGAGGCTTTCTCTTACGTAAAGCAATGCATTCACTTTCTTGTTTAAGCCAGATTAGTCAACCCTGGTCACCAGAAGCCAAGAGTCATAGTGGCATCTTTGGCTAAGTTGAAGAATGCCTGCGAGGAGGATAAGGTTACTGAAGCATTGCACAAGCCTGGCTGGGGTTGTGTCCTTAAATTATACTAAGATCTGCTGGAAGTGGGGTGATTGCAGGACAATGTGCACCCAGGGTTCAGGAATGAGGTCTAGGTAAGGAAGAAATTAAGGGTCTGATGGTGACTGAAGTTACAGGTGTGAATGAGATGGCCCAGGGGAAGCAGAAGAAAGAAGGAAGATGGTATCCCAGAACAACAGTGATACTTAGGAGAATAAGTAGAGCAGACAGCAAAAGTAACTGAAAAATAGTCAGAGAAGCAGGAAGAAAACAGCAAGAATGCACTGAGATTTCTGTGCAACGAAAAGGAAAAGTATTTGCAAGTAAAAAGGTCAACTACGTACACAAGAACAAAATTAAGTAGGACAGTTAACAATTAATATCCATCACATTATTAAAATTTAAAAATGACGTATCAGGCATCCAAACTGAAAAAGCAAGCCACCTTTAATCTACCTTTGGGGTGGATTTACATATTTTTTTGTACAGAAGAATGAGGAAAGATTATGAAAGTGACTAAGGGTCTGAGGGAAAGAAAGATTCATGCAGAAAGATGATAAGCAGACATTCTCAAAAGTGACATACGTCACACAACTTGGAGTAGTTAGAGCCTTTCTTGAAAACTATTTGAGAAGCAAATCCAAAATTAAATAAAGGTCCTAGGAATAGACAAGAAATGGAAAATGGAGTGCTGCTGATTTGAATCTATTTCCATATGAAATTAAGATTTAAGCACCATCAGAACAAAAGGCAATTGCTGCAAATCTTGGCAAGCAAAATTGAAATAAGCAACAAAAGCAGGGGAGTGGAGCAAGCTAGCAGGAAGAAATATACGTCAGCTGCTCCCCTCATCACTCAGAGATGCAGGGTCAAAATCCTAGATGTGCTATTAAGGAAAGACAGAGGATGTTAAATATTAATGACTTTCCCCGTTGTCTTTCTTTCACTTTAGACCAGTCATCTAGGAACTAATAGCCACTCCGTCAAAGAGACACGGATCTGAAACCGACTTTCTGGGTTCACGTTGATTTATTTTTCTTTTCTTAAATGCAGGAAAAATTAAATGCTTTTTAAATTTAAAAATAGAATACGTGCAATAATTCCTTTTAATATAGTTAATTCTTCCCATCTATCTATTCACGTATCCCCAGTGTCCCTTTCCCTCACCATTTACAGTTTAATGTTCAGTGTTACAGTTTAGCTGTTTAATGGGGGATATTAATAGTGCAGATCTCATTGGGCTCTTATGAGGATTAAATAAGATGATGGATGTAAATGCTTAAAGTATTATTTATATAATGGTATACAGAGTAGTTTATAATGTCGAAAGTTATTCTTTATCTGTATATCCATTCTTGTACTAA